CTTCCTACAACACCCAGCTAACACGTGCTAGGCGAGCAGACAGGATGCACCAAGGCCATCGATCTAGTGCGACCCCCCATGCGCCCGGGCAATCCGAACACCACTGCCACCTCGACCAACTCCCCATCGGCCACACAACCACAAAGAGGCCTACATGCTGGCAGCGCGAGGTCATCACATGGCAGCAGTCAGCCTCAAGCATCCGATTCCCCTTCACCACCCGATTGTTTCACTATCTATGAGCTCTTCACATCGTCTGTCATCGCACTCATCTCGTTCAACGTCGTCAAAGATTGCAACGTGACTGCCTTGAACTACCGCACATTTGTGTCCAAGGCTTGCAAACGAGCTGACGACGATCCGTACGAGACTGAAGCGCCAGCTCCTGTGCATCGCCTTACTAGCGTGAATGTACATTGGGCTAGCTCAGGCACACTCCTAGTCTCGACTTACACTGACTACAAGACTGACATCCGCTGCGTCGGCGACATCTCAACACAAGCTGAAGAAAAATGGCTTACTGGCAAATGCATACGAGTTGCTCCGAATGGATTGCTCGCAACAATTTCGAGTTTTGATGATCCCCTTGATTCTATCATAGAGGAGATTGGTCTCCGTCACAGAAAACGTACTAGACTCGCCACTCTGGAGCAAAGCATCGAGAGCTGGAAGTCGAGTGTCAAGCGTTGGTTAGGCTGGAAGGGTTATGCTTTATCTGATCTGGAGAAGAAAAGCTCCTGGGTCAGAATACGTACGACCTTGACGAATAGCCCTACAGCCTCTAGCCCAGCTTTTGCAAGCCCAGATCGGGACGTCCTCTGGCCGCGCGCATTGTGTTTCTTTCACAGCTCAGAAGAACATGACATGACATCCGCAGACTCGACTGTTGGAGGACATAGTATGCTAAGATGGTATGAGACACCAGAATCCATGGGCTTCAAAGACCCACTTGATGCTGCACAAGAGTGGTTTCTGGGGAAACTGGACCGTGACAAGATTCTTGAGGCCAGACGGAAAGCGAGAAAGGCGGAGGAAGACTCTGCCCGTCGTAAAGACGAACAACAGAACCTGTTTCCATCATCGCCACTAAACGCCCGTGGTGGAGCCTATGGTGACCTGCATGCTGTAAGCGGTGTCTACCCCACCCCTCCAGATGGGGTGGCTCCTGGCACTGCAGTATCCCACAGTGACACGCCGAGTGTGTCTGGTACAGTCTCCAACGTTATCCTAGCACCTGGAGGCAGCAACCCTGCCATCAATCTCTCAGCTCCACAGGCCGACACGAAAATGGACGAACAACAGATGCCTTTGACCTCTCCCGTCGTTCCATCCGCGCCGGACAACTTCAACGCATCCAGTGGCAACGATGACCTGTTTGGTGACATGGACGAAGACGGGTACGGAGGTGATCGTATCAACGACGACGACTTCGACTTTTTTGACGGACCAGACGATAACGACGTTGACATGCTAGACGCACCCGCGCTACCTGAAACCAATGTAGTACCTATCGACACTTCGCACGAACAAGAGTCTCAAGCCGCTGCTGAACATCCGCCTGAGGAGGACTCCTCTGACCCCTTCGCTGCGCTCGAGAGCGCGTTGGCTACAGCCTCTGAGCCTGCTATGGATGTGGAGAAGGAAGACAAAGGCAAGCAGCCAATGACCACGGAAGTGCCCTTGGTCGAAAGCCCCGACCTGTCTGATGAGAAACCGGTTGCCCCAATAGCTAAAGCAAAGGTTTCGTTCTCCAAGGAGCCTACTCCACCGCTAAGCCCTAGCGCAATTTCCAAGGCACTGCAGCCATCTCCGCCCAAGAAGTTAGCATCGCACACTCGACCAAACCAACCCGTGGACACAAAAAATGATGCTCATTTCAGTCCAGTGGTTTTCAGTCGGAAGATGAGCATGTCTGATGCAAAGTACCAAGACGGACGATTCAGCGCACATCGCCCTGTGGACAGTGTCAATCAAAACTCATCCAGCCCTAGTCCAGGCCCCAGGCCCGTTGTAATGCAGACCAAAAGTCTAAGAGACATCCCTCTGCTCTCGAAGCTGCGTATCACTGTGGGTGCCGCATCTACGAATCAGATACCAGAGATCGCATCTATTGCTCGAGCAGCTAGTGAGGACTCGGATTCCAGTGATACATCAGACGAATCCGATGAAGATTCTGGAGAGGAAGAGGAAGCGGGAACGACACCCGCAGCTATCATAGGCGGCCTCACCATGCCCGCAAAGAGAAAACTACAGAGTGACGGTAACGCTACGCCGCTATCTGTAACGTCGTTTGCGGATTCCATGGGAGGCGACTGGCATGACTTGCACGGTCTGCAACTTGATGAGTTGAATCTGACCAGTTTCGAGCCAAGTCTATGGGACTGGTCCTTGGTCCACTTTCCTTCCCCAGTGGAACGCCGTACAGCTGGCGCGCGCTACAGCCTTCCTTCTCTGCATGCGAGCCCCGCTCAAATGCCTGATACCCCCACTTCTCAGCCTGAGATGAGTTATGAAGTTTCAGAAGAAAAGCCTTTGAGCGCCAAGGACAGTATTTCCATCACACAAATCGTGACAGATCAGATTGTAAAGACCACACTCGATCTCTTAGGAGAGGATTTACCCTCTGAGAAAGAGCCTGTCAACGAGGCAATAGCAGAGACGCGCTGGCATACGGTCATCAAAGAGATCTTCCCAGCGGCTGCAGAATGTGACCTGCCTACTCTTGCGGGTGTGCACGAAGTTTTCCAGGACTATGCTACCCTAGCAAAAGCACAGCAAAGGCCAGCCGCGCGAAAGAACGACGGACCAGCTGTGACTGGGAGCCATCTGTATCAGATCAATGCACCATTCTTGAGGGTGCGCCGCGCAGAAACGCATTGGGACTTGCTTCCTCCTGCAGTAGCTTTTTGGGAACCTTTAGGATTGTCACCCATCAGTTCACCCAAGAATGTCGTTACATTCTGCATTTACCCACACAGCGATGCTCTCAGACCTTGCCTAGAGAACTTTTTGCTCAACCTTCAGCTTGCCTACGACAGCTGTAAGCTTGGTACACACAGTCGAGTCGAGACGGTTGTCGAGTTTGAAGGAGGTCTTGTACCTGTGAGGGCAAACTCAACTGTCACACCAGCGGAGTCATTCAAGCTTCTTAAAGAGACTTGCGTCCAGCTTGGAAAGCTTCTTGCCATACAGCATGCGAAGATACGCGAGCAGCAAGATTCGAAGATTGATGCGTTCGTTATCTACATGGTTGATCCCTTCGGCGGCCCATCCGCGTTGTGGGAGCTGTGTTCGGCTTTCTGGGCACTCTTCCAGGCTTACGGTCAAGGATCACCAGGACGACCGGACCAGCCTCAGAAGCCAGATCTTGTGCTTCAGGTCGTCCCGATGAAGTACATAGCTTCTTTCGACACTCCTGTCATCCTGGATCCCTCTACATATTTCAGCCTTGCACGAGAAGTTTACGACCGATGCCCGCCAAGTGCACCTAGTGGAGACAAAACATCCCTCAGCATATATGCAGCGCCTGCTTTTCATCTCGAAGAAACACTTCCACGCAACATACCATTCAAGCTTATCTCTGAGCCGGCTCAGGATCTGCTTCGAGAAAACACGTACATGCACCTGGGGTACGCGATCAGTCTCGATGGCACGTGGGTGACAGCAGCTTGGACTGATAGCTGCGGCAAGTCACAAGCAGTCGTCTCGTATCACTTAGGTACACGCATGTTCCGAGAGGTCGCGAAAGAAATCTGGCAGACCACTATCGAAATTTTGCAGTCAAGGCGTGTCAATTGGCGTGTCTGCATCGCTAAAGCTGGGGTCTTGGAAAGAGAGGAATTAGAGACCTGGGTTTTCCTAATCTCATGTCCAACGCAGATCAACGTATTCGTCACGTTACTCACAGCGATAGATGCGGATCCTCCGTACAAGTTTACGCCAACCATGACAGGGCCAAGCACGGCTATTGGTGGAAGTACAAATACCCCAGAATCCACACCCCAAGCTGGCGTCTCCCCCTCGGACCTGGGACCAGGTCTAACACCCGCCGCAACACCTTCCGCCGACCCTTCCGCCACGGACCCGTCGGCAGACCCTGAAGCGCGCTTAATCGACGTCACAGACGAAACATGGGGCGTGATCCTTGCTCATCGCCTTCACAACACACAATCCACAACCCAATTCAGCCCTGCCCTTATATCCGGTCTCCTGGTCAAGCGCGGAGAAACCCAACAAACGCGCAACAGCATCTCACACCCGATCCCTGATCCGGAACCAGGCCCTATAGTTGTGGCGGTAAACTTCCTCTGGATCGGTGCCGTAGGCTCGACACGCGCGGCATCTTCTCCCTTCCCACCATCGTCTTCCGGTAGTACCCCGTCCGCTGCATCCGCATCCTCAGATCTCCCTAGCCCGGGTGCGTCTACCTTGCCAAACCCATATGCTAGTAACCCGGGCACGCCGCAGAGCCCGGGGCCAGCCCAGGATGCGGGACAGAGGAGTACAACGAGTCTTATGTGGACGCCCACGCCGCAGACCAGAACGACAGCCGAAGGCTTGTTAAAGGAGGTGCTGGGACAGTTTAGAGCGCTGGGGTTGTTGGCGAAACTTAGAGGGATGAGGGGGACGAGGAATGGGACGTTGCCTTGGCATGTTGTTGCTGCTAAGAGGGGAGTTGAGGGTTTGAGTAGGATTGGTGGAGCGGTTTAAGATCTGTTTATTGGAGTTTTAGGGTTTGACTTTTGGTTATCTGGGATGTCTGGGTTTGGGGGTCTGCATCTACCGAGTCTAGCATAGCGTTTGTTATATTTGGGTGTTTGTTTTATGGAGTTAGATATCACGATGGTGGTTGTTTTTGCATGTTTCCCAATAGCATCATTATCGATTCAACGCTTTTCGGCTGTGTAGCATAATATCATGATCATTCATAATCGTTTACTATTCACTCTCTTCGTAAATTCAAATATTGATTACAACATTACCAATTATCTACCTTGCTTCTAGCCCTCAATGCCCAAATGATCAACCTGCTTCACGCTCTTCCCTTGCTTACTCTCCTGTCCCACGCCACTCTCCTTTGCTTTCAAACTAGACTGTTGTGCATTTCCAGCTGCGAATGCACTTCCACGGCCGCCAGCTGCCGCATTCGCCATACCTGGTTGGGCTGTTAGCGGATACCGGAGAGAGAGCAATCGAGATGAACAAGTACCTTTGTCATGCTTATCCTCGGTAGTGGTAGACGAGCCATCAGCGTTCTGATGCGTGGTTTTCTTTTGCTTTGAGGAGAAAGCCCCAGAGAGGGCGCCGAAGATGTTGAGGTTCAAACCAGCCTGGAGACATATTAGCATTAGTTCATGTCGGAAGGACTTCGAACAGAAGAATCATGGGGAGATGAACGTACGGAGGCGTTAGCACTAGCATGATGTTCTTGCACTTCTCTGCTCCCCGCAGCTTGACTCTGCTGCTGTACTTGCTGCTTGGAAGCTTCTTGCTTTGATACGGCTTGTGTCATGTTGGAATAGTGCAGATGATTTATTCCTTCCTGAAAATATGGGGTCTTCGATGGTCTTCGACGAGTATTGCGATCGAGATGTATACTATTAGTGACTTTTAAGAATTGGGAGGCTGGTAACGGAGGAAGCTCCGCGGACCCGGCGGTACTGCATCTCTTGTACATGTGCCTTCCAAGGTTGGTGTTGAGGTTTGGGTCGTATGACGTCATAGCTATGAGTGGAAGGCTGGGGTGAGGAGCAGGTTTTAGCATGAACAGGCGCAGGGTCTAGGATTCGTTACAGTACAGGGATAGCGTTTGATATAGGGCCGAACAAATGCATGTAAGATATATTGGAGAGGGTCCAACAATTCGATATGGGGTGTCTTTTAGTTCAACAATGCTTCTACTATGTTGTCCCAGATACCTAAGTCGTAGACATTCTCCACCGCTGCCAGATTCCATACTCGTTCAAAGCTGTCTTCTTTGGCTACCGACTTGATGCGACTCGGGAGAGTTTTGGGTGGTTGGCCCGTTCGGGTGCGGATGAGTATGTGTCTGCTTTCTAACGGCCAGGTTGTTGGGGGTTCTTCGTCTTCTGGCGGGGTTTCTGGGGGGGTTGGGAAGGGCGAAGTTGATGAAGAGGAATGCGCTGAGGCGTGTGCATGATTGTGCGCGGGCGTTGTTGAGCGGTACTCTTGCATGGTATCCTCTCGTCTGTGCCCCAGGAACACAACACCGTCCGCCATGTCGTCTCGCCAGTCAGCCCACTTGCCGCTCTCATTCGTGGTCATGCCAGCCCAAATCAGATAGATGTGGTATGCAAGTAGACCTAGTGGAAGTGGCCATGTGAGGAGAGCTAGTAATCCAACTCCAGATCCACGAACGCCTCCCATGTCGAGGTAGATGGTTACATAGATGAGGAAGTAGTGAGTTTTCTTATCGAACCAACCAAACCAGCTGTTTGCATCTACGCCATTTTTGGGCTTGTATCTATACCATCCTTCATATTTCGAGTAGTGCTTGTTGACTAGTGGTGAAAGGGCGTAGTAAGCCAGATATGCTCCGTAGGCGATCAGTACACCAGTCGACAGCAACAAGGCTAGAAACCACTTATAGTTCCCTCTTCCTAGACAGTTGTTGACCCATATGCAATGATGATCCATTCTTGACACGCATGTCTTGCATATACTGCAATGCTTGCTCCGTGCCGGCTTCAAGAACTTGCACGTCCGGCATAGTGTTCCTGGATAGTACAACACCCTGTCATATGGGTAGTGTCGCATCTGCTCGGCATGGTTGAGCGAGTTGATATATGTCTGGCTGTTTCTCTTTGCGCTGAGATACAAAAAGACGTATGGTTGTGGCAACAGAAAGGAAACCAGAAGCTTATGATACGGTCGAAGGAGGTGCCAAACAGTAGGCAGGAATAGCGTCGCGCATGCAGTTACGAGGCCGAGGAAGAATATGACGACCAGTGGGTGTTTATCATGCATGAGGTAGTTGCCCAGGCGGGAACCGCCATTTGTGATGCGGCCATTTGTGAGGGCGAGGTCGAGTTTGCGGAACACGGATGGGATGTGGATGAGGAAGAGGCGGTTGAGAAAACCTATAGGAGTGTTCCTAAATGCGTTAGAGCAATGGCTGTGACTCGGGGAATAACTGTGAATACCTGAAAGCCGGCAGTCGTCCGAAGAAAGCTATGAACGTGACCAGGGACACTGTGATGGTGAAGATGATGATGGTGCGCGCGACTGTCATGATGAAAGGAGTCTAGAAGCGACACTATGCATGGCGGAACACAGGAACAAGATGTGACTCGAAGCTACAATCGCATCATCATGTCGTGGCTTTGTCTCGTTGATCCATTCACACAGATGACAGCGCGCAAGAGATGGATAGGGCTGAGTAGCCGCGGCCGCTAAGCGACCCCGCGTGAATCAAGCGGCCCATGTGAGCACGCGTCGCAACTCAGCCAACGCGTCGTTCCTCTTTCTTCACCCGCGCCTCGAACCGACAACACCAATCCACTATGGCTGGGCCGACCGTATACAAGCATGTCGCCGAGGAATTCGACTTCAGTTCTGGGACGGGGATATTTGCAGGCAAGAAGTTTTGGGTTGCGCAGCGCGTGCCGTCCCGCTCTCGGCTGCTGGACGACATAAAGGCCAACGGTGGAGAGATTGTACAACTGGAGAAGATGGCAGATTATCGGATCGCGGACCATTTCAGACCCACTACCTGTGCACCAGGAACGATATCGTACACATTCGTAGAGAAATCTATCAAAGATGGAGAGCTTCAAGATCCTGCAGACCACCGAGCGGGACCACCATTAGGTGAGGCGCGTGAGCCTGCTTCTGTCTACCGACCCACAAAGAGTGGAAGGGCAGCGTATACTGCAGAAGAGGACAGGATACTCTACAAATGGGTGCGCGATGCCCAAGAGGCTGGTGTCCAAATTGGTGGAAATGAAATATACATGCAGCTGGAAGCCAAGGTATGCATCAACAAAGAATCGTGTCTGAGTCTGGTCGCTAATGAGCCCAGTACCCGCGACATACATGGCAGTCGTGGCGCGATCGCTATCATAAGCAACTGAAGAATCGTCCACCCTCCGCTTTCAACATACCTGACAACGCTCCCCCGTCTCCGCCTTCCGATCAATCAAAAGAACGTATGCCTCCTGCTCCAGCCTCCCCTATGCGTACCAAACAGCAAACACCTAAACCAGAGCAGACTTCAAATACGGAAAATCCCAGTAGGAAAGGCAAATCGAAATCGAAAAGTGACTACAGCGTTGAAGAACTGGAGGGCATGTTCACGGTAGACGACTGGTTAGAGCTGTATGCTTTCGCAGATCTCATCGATGATTCGAAAGGAACGGATGAATACGGCACCCATTGGGCTCAATGGGCTGAAGCAAAGGGTGAACAGACTGCTGAGCAGTGGCAACAGTATTATGAGAAGGTGGTTTATCCTCAATGGTTGGTTGATCCAGTTTCTAAAAGAGAGAAAATCAAGAGGCAGGTGGAACGGCAACACGATGAAGCACGCCCGAGTCAAAGTCAGCCGAGCAGTTCACAGTCGCCAGAGCTGGGGAGACCGAATAAGCTGCCTTCTGCCAAAGACCAGCCAGTCACGAAAAACCCCCTGGATTCTTTAAAGAACTCAGCAGACATTGCGTCAGAAATCAAGGTGCCGTCATCATCAACTGCCCATCCGGAATCTTCGAACTTTTACGAAGATCGGATGGAAAGGGTTACAAAGCGATTGCGAGAGAACGATTTCGCAGAGCAGGAAGAAGAGACGCGGCTAGCGCCTCCTACCAAACGGCGAAAGAGTGAAAGCGCAACGCCTACACGAGAGGATTCAGTGGGACCAAATAAAGAAGTCGGTACACAGCACCAGTCTGTCGAGATATCATCTGCTGAGAGCTCTCAGTCGACTTCACATTTAGAGGATGCTGAAGAGCTGATGCAAGAGCATATTCGATCAGAAGCGCTCGATTTAGGGGACGACGCTACTATGGTCAATTTGGAAGCCGACCCTGAAGAGAAAGAGGTGGAGAGCATAGAATCAGATGACTTTCCGGACACTGATCAATTACATCCACCTCCAGCAGATAATGTCGTCAGCGACAATTTACCCTCAAACACACCCACACCACGTGCCGCGCGCCAGAAGGTGTCCTACTTCGACACTCAGGCCATTCTCTCGCCGACACAAGACAGCTTGTCAAGACCACATGACCACACCTACGGTATAAAGCCTCATCAAAGACAGCGGTCCTCATCACCCTTCCAACAACTAGAATCCGATGCTTCCACGACCCAGTCCTTGGAAGAGTTCCGCCGTTCCCTCCAGGAAGAGGAAGGCCCCGACCAGACTCTTTACTCTCAGGCACCCCCACAACCACTCCGCCTATCCTCATCACCTGCCCCATCTTCAGCGTCTTCAACATCCACAGGCTCGGGAGACCCCGATCCACCCCTTACAGGAGACGAGATCGACGAGTTTTATGAAGACCGAAACGAAGAGGGATGGTCTAATGATTACATCAGTAAAGCACTCAAACGTACGCGGATGCGTCCAGAACTAGCAGTCAGAGTCCTTGAGGCATGGAAAGACGGAAATCCTCTGCCGAAAGCAAGAGGTATCTGGAGCATTGAAGACGATGTCGCTGTGGAGAGTGGCGATGGACTCGAGCTGGCGAAGCTAGCGAAGAAACATTCGCTAGACGGATGGGGCGGGATCACGGAGAGGTTGTTATTCCTGGAGGTTTATCGGAGCTACAATTAGCTCAGGTCAGTATAGAGCTTTGACTCGTTGTCTTTCAGTAAACAACAATGAGGTCCTTTGGTGCCTTTCGTGACATTGGACCAGGCGTTTATATATACCCTTAGCGCAGCATAGTACCTATGTGCCGTTCCTATTTATAACGCAATTTCAACGAAGATATTTTGCGGCTTTGTCGCCCATCATAATTCTATCGATGATCCTCTTTCTAGTAGAGTGTGCTTACGTCACCAGACTCTTGAGGTGTGGCAATGGGGCTGTGTGTGCCTTTTGAGTGAGAAATGACTACATTGCAGGTAACATACATGGTAATCGCTGCGACCTGTACGACACTAAATTCGGCCCCCACCCAAGAGGGGCCAGAGACCTGCGCTTATGCGACCGCGCGCACATAGATAAATCCAGACCGGAGAAGAGCACTAGAAGAAGCGCAGGTTGCCTTAACTCGATGCTTACCTATCAAGTTTTGCCGCCGAGCCGTTTCTTCTTGTAACCAGTTTATGCACGGCAACGGCGATGCACCGAATTTCTGGGCTATGACAATACCCTCTGGTTTCATGTAATGCAGTAAGGCAAACTACAGATAAGCTTATAGTGTTTTATATCTGTAACATGAGCTGACCTGTGGACGCGTTGCTCGTTCTACCATTCAGACTTACAGCGGGTACTTCTCTTCAACCTCTCGCGGATGTCTAGCGTCACCTGTTGTCTTCGCACTCTCAACGTTCACCAATGCCCGCGCCCGTAATGCGGCCATACCACATCTTCCGTACCTGGATATGGGAGTTACTTGCTCTCGTACTGGCGACCGGCCTGATTAGCGCCATTACCGCCCTTCTTGCGATATATGACGGCAAACCGGCACCTCATTGGGGTTTCCGCCTCAACTTCAATGCATTGCTCGCCCTCCTGTCAACTATTCATCGCGCTATGGTGGTCGTCATTGTTTCCCAGGTCATTTCACAAAGGAAGTGGGAGTGGTTTGGGCGAGATCGCACACGCCCCTTGGCCGACTTGCAGCAATTTGACTCTGGAAGCCGTGGCAGCTTTGGTGCTCTGCTCCTTATACCAACCGTCTTATGGAAGGATGTGGTGACGTTGATTGCTGCAATTATCCTGCTCGCCTCTTTTCTGGTAGGCCCATTCGTTCAACAGGCCAGTCGAACGTCAGAGTGCTCGTTTCCTGCACTGGGGATGAATGCGTCAATCCCTTTTGCTCACTATGTTCCTCGGAGCGGTGGCTATTACGATATAGCTGAATCGCCTACAATGGATTATGGTATACCGACACCTGACATTGCCGCAGCCATTCTGTCTAGCATCATGGCTCCCGAAGGCGTGGAAAACCAGATCAACCCTAGTTGTAGTTCAGGCAACTGTACGTTCCCAGAAGGTGACCCAGAAGGACCTCAAACCGGAAACATCAGCGACGACAACCTTGTGTCATACTCCACAGTTGGGATGTGCAACATTTGTGCTGATGTCGTCTCTCTTGTTACTGCTAAGGACTTGGACGCGACAACGAACGAGACTCGTTACACACTACCCAACGGCTTCAATTTCACTTACGACAGACCTCAAATTGGCACCAAGGTGGCGGAAATTTGGCCCACTGAAGACCTTGAATGGATGGCAGACCTGTTCACGCCAGAATTGAGGGCTGCATCTAGATGGGCCTATATCAACGCCACTTTCATGGGAAGAGGGAGAGGTGCCATTCAAGATAATGCCAACCTGACTGCAGTCATGTGTAGTTTGTACCCTTGTCTACGTACATACACTGTTTCTATTACCAACAATCAGCTCGACGAAAGGGAGATTCGATCAGACATCTTACAGGCTGATACAAGAGGTCAGGAATCCAACCCTAATGGGATCGAGAGCTGGAGTAGTTCGAACAACCCATGGTATCACTACACGGCGGTCAAAGCTCCATGCCGCATTGGAGAAAACGTTTACGACAAGGAAACCATGTCCTCTCTACCTAATGCAACCAATTTGACTCTATACAGTCTTGCTAATACTACGGGAGACGATTCCACATCTTACCGATACGAGTATCGAAATATTTCAGCCCCCGAGCAATGCATATATCGACAGAATGCGCAATTCGTGAAAGCAATTTCGACTGTATTCCATAACGAAATCTTTGTTGGAGACTGTACTCTCTACAAAGGTCTGCAATGCTACAAGCACAACTACGAGAAGAACGCAGGCATGCTTACAGACCTTGGCGCCGGCGCTGTACTGCGGACGTTATTCAACAATGGTGCAATGCATTTCGATGATGTCAATTTCTGGTTCAACTCATTCACGAATGCAATGACCAACCGGTTCAGGTTTGAGTACGGCACCAACCCTTTCAACGACACAATACGTAGCGCTCTTCTTTCTGACAGAGGCCTGGATCCTTCTTTGAGTAAAGATCTCCCATCGGGTCTGGCTCAGGGCTTGGCGTGGCAGACGACTACATGCATTGCTATGCACATCTACTGGCTTCTGTTGCCTGTCATTCTCACTTTCGTCACGGTTCTTCTCTCAGTCTGGACGATAATTACCAACTGGCGCCACCGTCACGATAGGCCAGTGTGGAAGGAAAGCATCCTGCCACTAATCTTCTACGGTCACAAGATTGAATCTACAGATGCAGGTGCTTCTGCTGCTCGCTCGCCTGAAAATGAACTAGCAGACAATATAGAGATGATTCACCGAGGTAGTTACCGGCAACCGAACGATACGAGTGATGAAGAGGAGCGTCTAGTGCACGAAGAAGGAAAGTTGATGGAGGCAAGTGAGATGATGGAAGTCAGCAAGAACATACCAGTTACCTTCCGATGGCCCAACAGCGCAGAGACGACATCGACGGCTCTACAGCAGGAAAAGCTTTGGCTGAGACGACGGAAACCACAAGCTGTAGAAGCCGACTCGCTGCTTGGAGGGAATGAAGAGTCATTACATCCCGCTTCGAAACTAAGCACCATCTCCACGGACACTTTCGAGATAGACATACACAGTGAGCAGCCGCAGCATGTCTCAAGGCCTACGATGGCGTATGGACGATTGTGATACATAGGAATGCGCTCTGTATTTTCTATTGTTATTGTATGATAAATAGAGGATCAAAGTCTAGCGAAACTACGTTCTTGGGTTTGAAACAATAGACGCAACCTCGTAGAACCAAAGACATCAACTTTGGGGATACAAAGGTTTCTTACATCCATGCTTTCGTAATGCCCAGCAGCCCGAAGGCAAATAATTGCATGTCGACGATTGTCTCATGACTTACCATGTAGTGCATGTAGTGCATGTAGTGCATGTAGTGCATGTCGAAGAAATGTAGGAATGCAGATGTCGATGATTAATTTATATCAGAATGTAAGATGGCCGAAGTCTACGACAGCGAGTCACATCTGCAGGAATCTACCACAAAATTGCAACTCACCTGTGGCAATACTAATGTTCTCTCTCTCATCCAGTCGATCCGGCAGTCGCACAGAAATCCCTTGATGGTGGTTAGAAGCATGACAAGTGCATCTTGGAGAAAAGCGTACATGTTCTGATTGGACTGTCTCAAAGCTCACATGCCCGAACGGGGCACTCAAAATCGCCAGTTGTTGTACAAATACCGCGGAGTCGCGGTAGTCTTCGCATGAGTCCTGCAGTAAGCCGAACCTTTTGGGAATCTAGACACACCTTAACGCCAATTTCCGGGGGTAATTACCAGCCGCCGCCTCTCCTGCCACCACGGCGGCCTCCTCGTCCGCCACGGAAGCCGCCACCGCCATATCCGCCTCCTCCCCAGCCTCCACCACCGCCTCGGTCCATGTCGCCGCCCGAGGAAGAGTAGTTGTTGCGGCTCGGTGGCGCGCGGTCCTTGAGCTCCTTGGTTAGGCTTTCGTAGGACTTGCGCATTTGAGCGTAGCCAAGATGCATCTTGCCGTAGAAATGGTCTGCTAGACGCCGATCATTATCAAGACGGCTGAGATACGCACCGCAAACGTCGCAGACTTGGAGCTTCTGATGACCGGATGGTCCTCCAGTATCTGACAGAGCCCGAAGCTCCCTCTCGCGCTCCTCTTTCTCGGCTTTCTTGTAGCGGACTTTGGTGAACTCTTGTACGGCCATGTTGACCATACCTTCTTCGCCCATGATCTGGATCTCGAGCATGCCGGCATCGATGGATTTGGTAAGTTCATTTATCGCTTTGAGCTGTCCACTGTTAGCCGTGGAGCAGAATCGAAAGCTGGAGTTACTCACGAGAGCATTGGTTTGCCGTATCTCTTCAGGCGTCTTCTCCAAGCGACGCTGGGCAGTGTCTATCTTGCGGTTGCAGCTGTCAATGTGATGCTGCATATCGCGCATGTAATCAAACTCGAAGCCCCACCTGCGCTTCTGGTCCGCGTCTGCCTCCTGGTACTCCGTCTTGAGCGCCTCGTTGTGGACCTTGGAACAGGGACCCAGTTCGTTCTTGGTGTTGGTGAAGAGATCATGGGGGCAGTTGCCTACGAGATATGAGCGACAAACTTTGGGGTCGGTGATGCTGAGTTGGGGCGCGCGCTGGTCGGTTCCGCTCATGAGCTGTTCGCCCATAAGCTGCTCTGGAGTCGCGTTAGCATATGATATGTGATAGTGAGAAGAGAACTAGAGTGCCTACCAAGCAGCCTGCGCGTCTCTGCGGCGGCCATGATGTGTATATTAGGGTATTGCGCGGTTGGGTCGTGATGTGGAGAGCTTGGAGGTGAGTGATAGCCAAAAGAAATCGCGACCGCGGCAATGCCAAGTACTCACGTCAGCTGGCCAATCACATGTGGGGCGTCTTCACCTCACACGTTGGCCGCGGCATCCAACACGTATCGTCAGTCGACAAGGACACATTTCGCGTAGAGAGCGCTACAATGCTGCGATGCTTTCGTCTTTTTACTTTCTTTTGCTCAATGCCTTGATTGCATTTGTCTCTGCAGGCGCCGACTACAGTGAGCGACTCCTGCTTCGGCCCCTTCCCCAGGACACTCTTCTGGCCTCTTTCAATTTCCGAAGCAACGAAAGTGCACACGCGTTCGAACAGCAAAACTTCCGATACTTTCCGCGATCTTTCGGACAGATCCTGCAACATGCGCACACGAGGGAACTACATTTAAGGTTCAGTGTTGGACGTTGGGATGCCGAGAATTGGGGCCAGCGGCCATGGAACGGCGCAAGAGAAGGAGGCACTGGTGTTGAGCTGTGGGCGTGGGTAGAAGCTGATACTGAAGAAGAGTATATGAATCGCATCAAATGGACAAAAAACTCATACTGATTGACCCAGAGCATTTGCACGATGGTTGAAGCTGACCAATGCTCTGTCGGGCCTCTTTTGCGCCTCTATCAATTTTATCGATGCTACCAAGACAATACGACCGGTCATGTCATTCGATCCTGAAGGCCAGCACGGTAACTCCTCCAATCTCCATCTCCTCCACGGCACGCTGCCCCACGAAGTCGTCTGCACGGAGAACCTTACACCCTTCCTCAAGTTACTACCTTGCAAGGGCAAGGCAGGTGTGTCCAGCTTACTGGACGGACACAAGCTGTTCGATGCTTCGTTTCAGACTATGGCTATCGATGTGCGCCCAACATGCGAAGAAGGTAGTTCCAGCTGTTCGATTGAGATGGAGCAAAGCGTGGACATGGTCTTGGATATTGCGAGAGCCAAGCGTCCAAGAGACAACCCGATTCCACGACCTCTGCCGATCAGCCAGATGGAATGCGATACATCCAAGCCGTACAATGGCCATGATACCTGTTACCCTTTGAACAAGGGTACTGAGCCCGGCTGGACACTGGAAGAGGTCTTTGGAAGACCACTTAGGGGAGCATGTCCGTTGGCAGATCAAGCTGAGGGGGAGGCAAACAATGTATGCATCAACACACCACCAGAACGTACACTCGAAGTCAAGACAACAGGCGAATTCACCGAGTCAAGACTAGCATCAGACACGCTCCGATGCTACAAGCTTCCCACCGGCGCAGACTTCGATCTTATCCTACCCGAACAGAAGATGATGACCGGCCTTGTCCGCCCTGATCCTCTCGTTTTCGCCGCCAGGTCTATAAACGGCCATGGCCAGGAACGGGGTAGCACACAGTCAATCATCAAGAACCCATCCACCACCAATGCCGTTGAGATAGTATATCTAGAGTCTCTACCATGGTTCATGAAACCCTACCTGCATACTCTCCAAGCCCGCGTCGACACCACAGACGAAAGCCCCATCAAAGAGACCTACTATCGACCAGCTGTTGACCGCGAGCGCGGCACTCACCTCGAGTTGCGCTTGGTCATCCCACCAAGCTCTACCCTCACTCTAACCTACGATTTCGAGAAAGCGATTCTACGTTACACAGAGTACCCACCAGATGCGAATCGAGGCTTCGACGTCGCACCTGCTGTCATCCGTATCCTTTCTCCCGACTCAGGAGACAACAAGGGAATCTATGTTCGCACTACTTCATTACTTCTCCCCCTTCCAACACCAGATTTCAGTATGCCGTATAACGTCATCATTTTGACCAGTACTGTCATGGCGCTGGGCTTTGGCAACATCTTTAATTTGCTTGTTCGCCGCTTTGTGAGTGTGGATGAGGTGCCTAACATGGGTGCTGGGGGGCTCAAAGGGATCATTTTGGGTAAGGTGGCTAGGCTCAAGGGTTTGCTAGGAAGAGGCTGAGGGTTTCCTGTCAAATGATATTCAAAATTCGTACACATCGTTGTTCCCTGATCTATGTGACCACATGTTTCATGTACATCAACTTATTTGTGTTCACCGTGACGCTCACACGTCTCCAAAAATTGAAATAAGACACCCTGCTCAGCTTTTTGAGGTACTTGGTAAATATTCACGTTGAAGGTATACGTAAGACGCTGAATACCTCGAGTACATATGTAATCAAGTATTTCTACTCCTACATATACTATCCATTGTGAATACCTTGAATAAGCTCCTTTGTATGCAGACAAGGAATGTCTACTTTCTGTGTCAAGGACGTGCTTGCGATTTTGTCTTCATGGTAGCCAGGCGACGCTTTAAAAGAAGGATCATGTAACATGTTTGAACGCCTTCGCATTGTTCTAAAATTCTATGTACACTCTAATGGTAATTCGCTAGCTATTGTAGCTCATTGGGTATCGTTGTTGGGTCATTCGTGACTCCGTGCGCCAGAAAGGGATTCGCATATCCCCGTATGATGTGCTCGCCTCACGTTCTGTCTCCTCACAGCCTATTTCCCACTCTCTACCCCCCAGTTCTAAGCGCCATAATTCCGGAAGTTCTCACAAGGCAGGTAGTTGTTCTCGATAAACGCCGTGTCTAGCCTGATTCCATGCGCGCATTCCCATTCCTTCTCGGTGTCAAAGGGAAAGATCTTAGCTTTCACGGTACCCTTGACTGTCTCGATCGTGTTGGGACTCGTCGTCAGGCTAGTATTGAAAAGACGAATCATGTTGTCGCACGTCTTGCCATCTGCAAATGTCACTTGGTTCGTGACGTTCATGAAGAAGCCAATTGGGTAGACTTCCTCTGTCGACAACGACAACCGCGTGCTGACGAATGCAGCGCTAGAATTAGAACTCTTTGCGCTGAACGAGGTTGTTCCTGGCTCCTTGGCATCGGGTACAGCACTGTACGCGTCACAGGCGGGCTCGAAAGAAGAGGGGTAGGTCTTGGTTCCGTAGTCTGCCGCACCTTTGAGAGCGATTGCGTTCTCGGCAGACATGAGAAGTGATGGTGCCCACTTGAATGATGTCGTATTGTCGCCTAGTAGATCCAGGAAGGGGAATTCAATGCCACTACGCTAGTCATCGTTAGCATGTTTGCGATCTAAGTTTAGGGGCATCTCGTACCGAAAAATCGGGTATCTGGTACCCGAAAGCTTGTACTTCGTGATCGTGTACTGCCTGGAGTACAGCTGGATACATTCCTTCAGGAAACGAAGGAAGGAGATGTCGGTATGCATGTTCCAAGATGCGGTATTGCGACGGAATGAGCTGACGTGCAAGCTCCAGGGATATCGGTAGTACCGAAACTGTGCCGTTCAATGTTCCCGTCGCGTTCATCGGGTATATTGACGCAATAGGATTTGGCTGGTCAACCGACTGACAGACAGGCTGAACAATCTCTTGCGGCGCTTGTGGAGTAGCGGCCGTAGTGCTGGCATAGCGCATAGCGAGCAATGCAAAGAAACTGAGGAAGAAGTATTGCCATTTCGATTGTTGAGCCGCCATCTTTGGTCGTTGTATCGAGAGAAATGCGAGTACCGGATGGCACAAGAGTGCGAGGTCCAAACATGTGCTTATCATGATTCCTGAGTTTCCGCAACGGACCGATATCGTAGCTACGGTAGTACTACGCGGGAGATGATCATGTGAAAGAATAGATTGTGCAAAAGCGCCATTGGCGTAGGAGAGGTATTTTTCAGCTACATAAGAGAGCCATACCAACCGGCAACGCATGAATCCGCGCCACTAAGAGTGCCGCAAGAAGATTCTTACTGGAACACAGATACCCGCAGGTCGCGGGAAGACAGACGCCGGATGAATCAGTACCTGACCGCACATTATCCTCGCGTCGCGCTGTCCTTTGGGCAGTCTTTCCACGACAAAACGTGCTTAGTGCCATGGAAGCATCAGTTTCCGAGACGCAGATCCATCATGTGGAGGTAAGCTACCGCGGGCTAGGGTGCGCCCTGGCGCGTGCAGTTGCTGTGAGCGTAAGCACGGTCCGACTGAAGTTGCTTAATCTCAGCGCCGCGCTGTGTGGGAGCGTGTAATGTTGCCTTTTGAATGTTGGACGGTGCAGAGCGTGTGTCAAGGAGACATCTCCGGAGTTTCATCGGCTTCGAGATGAACTTGGGCCCGACAGCACGTGCACGCTAGGCGACTTAAGGCTGGTATCGGCGGATGCCGACTGCCGAATCCTTGCTCTCGTCGTTCTCTCCACCCTATGTAGATTCCTGCCTCAGCACGAGAATGCACTTTCTGAATGCAGTGCTTCGGTCACATGGTCATCGCCTCGCGAGGATAAAGGACCGGAGACGAGGAGTTATTAAGATTCGCATTACTATGAGGTTACACAGCGCCATTGCCTCCATACTGAGTGGGTATACAGAGAATCTCATACGCTGCCCTGTCGACTTTGTAAATACTGCTCTACTGTCTCGTCATTCATGTTATCAATCTCGGCCGTCATTGACCTGTTCGGTGGGTGCGATGAGCTACTCCTCCTGCTTGAAGCCTCCGAATCGGACGATGACGACGAGTTGCCGAAGCCCAGCGCTGCGTACACTGCAACCACGGAATTTGCAAGATTCGAAGCAGCGGTCGTTGCTTGACTGATGTAACTCTGGTCTTCTTGTGATTTGCCGTCATCTTCGACCGCTCTTTCTGCTGTCACACCATTTGTGCCTTCAGGTTGCTTTGGAGGGGCATGGTCCCGCTCCACTATCGACGGTTGAGGTTGTGAAGCTCGTCGTTCAGCTTCCTCGGCAGCACAAACTTTCGTCAATTCATCATGGCCTGTACTCTTCTGTTTCGGTTGATCCTCCGTAACCACAGCCGCTGGTGCACTTTCTCTCCTCTTCTCCTTCTCCAGCGTATCATCCAGTTCCTGGCCAAACAGCAACTTGAAAAAGACCACGAGAAGCACATCTGATGTCCTCCGGTTCTTAAGCACATATCTCAAATGATGCGTTTTTTCATCCACATACTTGGCCACACTGATGGAGAAGCCCGGCAATCTCAATGAGAAATTCGCAAAATCAAGATGCGGATTAAAGAAGTCGGCGTGGTACATGCGGCCCTTTTCGAACGTGAAAGCTGAGAGGGCTTGTTCGTCAAGATAATGCTTCCGCCTCTTTTTCCACTTCGAAGGCATAGACGAAGCTTTGCGAACTTCCTTGCCGCTTCCTGATGCACCTTCTTCTATTACGTTGTCTGTTTCTTGGCTGAGATTTGCGAGTTGATCTTTTGCTGGCACTTCGCTGGTCCGGTCCCCAATCCTGAAAGCGAAGAAACTCGAAAGCGCGGGCCCGTATAAATATGGCTCGTCGGAGTATGCATCTGAATAAAGCCCAGGATCAAGCATACTTGTAGCGATCTTCATCGCGTACCTGAAGCCCGGCGGAAGTTGGTGTTTGATTGAGTGACCGTAATCGAAGCCCATTACCAGATCAGAGCCAGACATGTCTTGTTTGGGCACAAAGGAGTAGGCAATGGAGTACCTGTCGGAAGTATGTTGTGGGTGGTCGAAGTAAGACGAGGAAGCTGGGGAACTACGCGGTAGGCCATGGTAGTCTTTGATCCGGACGCGAACCCATGCGTCTACAAGTTCGCTTTCAACATATGTTGGGTCTGCGCCATTGACCGACACTTGCTCGTGCTCCGATGTGTTGTAGGACGGTCCAGCGGTTACTACTAACTATCAGCGTTTCGAACGATCACTTTTACTTGGTAATTACGCACCTTGTAAGAGATACTTGTCCCTTGCCTCAGGGTCTACGCCGTTACCCGACATGATGGTGAACTAGTGCAATAGCCGCAATTGGTCTATCGGCGAAGAAACCCGGTGGAGCTGACCTGCCAGATGGAGAGGCTGGGAAGCTTATGTATAGTCACAGACATTCTCGCACTGATTAGACAGCCACGCACCATCGTAGCTCCTACATAAATCAAGATCGATCCCGCGGCACAGTGTTGGTGACGACCAAACCCAGCCACGAGTCCATGACGTTATGATCACGCGTCGTCCAATCAGAACCTGTGGCTAGATCAGCCCCAGGTGGCTGGTCGGCCCTACTCCTCCATCCCTTCTTTCTCTGTAAGCATCGTGAGCACCAAGTGGAACAATACATAAGATAGAACGATATTGTTTTCAGTGCTATTTAGGCATATACAAACTCAAGCCTAACCAAGGAGCAACTTGCTTTTCTCCGCCAAATTTTGTGCCAGTTGTGTCATTGGCACGTTCTGCATAACGTCAAACACCGAAACTTCGACTGCCATTTCGCGTGCAACCCAATTCCTCACCTCAACCGCGACTAAACTATCGACACCATACGCGCTCAATGGCCTGCCGGCATCGATATCAGCCTCGGGTATCATCATCAAGCTCGCAAGCCGTTGCACGATGGCTGCCGTTATGAGCTGCACAGCCTCTTCATTCGCGGTGCCGCAACGCGTCAACTCCTCCCGTAGCGAAATAGCCCGCCCGGCATTGGCAGAGGAGCCAGCAGCGACGTTGCGTAGGGCAGCAAACCGCGCGTCGGCCATCCAGTACCACGCATCATCGTGCTCATTGAAGGGCAGGCCGCACATGACTTGCCCGGGGTGCTGCGAGGGGCCTTCGATGGCGGTCGCTAGCAGACCATGCAGGTCCGAGGTATGCATGACCTTCAACCCCATCGCCTTGACATGATCAACGTACTCGTCATGCTCAGCAACAAATCCTACCGACAGAAGATAGCCAATGTCGATAGTCATTGCGGGTAGGCCTTGGCCGCGTCGGAACGAAGCGAACTCGTCTTGGAAGTTGTTACCACATCCGTAGTTACCCTGTCCGCGATGGCCCATAACACCAGCTAGCGAAGACAACATCACGAAGAAGTCCATGTCGCGCGGTAGCAGCTCATGTAGATTCCAGGTGCCGTGAACCTTAGGACCGACTGTTGTACGTATGTGGTCGGCGGTCATCTTGTCGAAAAGGCAGTCTTGCAGGACCATGGCACCAGTCGCACATCCCTTAATCGATGGCAAGCCCTTGGCCTTTAGGTCGTCCAAAACTGCTTGTAGGGCGGTCTTATCCCCAACGTCGCAGTCATAGGCCAGCGGCGTGACGTCGTACGTGTTTCGCAATTGCAAAGAGAAAGCCTGGTTGTCTGTACCGCTGGCAGCAGAGCGAGAGAGGAAGACTAAGTAGCGTGCGCCCTTCTCTGCCAGCCACCGCGCGATCTCACGCGTAATCCCACCTAACCCAGCAATTACGTACGTCGCGTCAGGGTGGATGCTTACACGAGGAACCCGAGGTACGGCACGAACGACGTCCGCATCGTCCACACGGACGATCACCTTCCCCATGTGCTTTCCTGCCTGCATATGGCGGAACGCCTTCTCGACTTCAGCCATCGTGAAAATCTGAAGTGGCGCAATAGGCTTGATCGATCCATCATGGATCATTTTCGTGGTATCTTGCCATAGCGCTACGGCACGAGGGGTTGGATTGTTTTCGAAGTCAAGAAGATTGACGCCAATATAGCTCTTGTTGTCCAGCAGGGGCTTCATATCGAGACCGGTGTTGGCGAACAGATCTGCTTTTCCAATTTCCAAAAACCGACCAAATTTTGCTAAGCAGTCGGTCCATGATAGACGCAGAGCCTCACCAGCCAACGAATTCAGTACCAGATCCACCCCTTGACCGCCAGTAGCACGCAGTACGCCCTTCACGAAGCTGGTGTCGCGACTGCTGAAGATGTGATCTTCAGAGATTCCGTACTGCTCAACGAGCAGTTGTTTCTTGGTGTCTGCGCCGACCGTAGCGAATATTTCAGCACCTTTAGCTTGCGCAATCATGATGGCAGCTTGTCCGACGCCACCAGCAGCAGCATGAATCAGAACCTTCTCGCCAGCGACGATGCCACCCGCGGTTACCAGGGCATAGTAAGCCGTGAGGAAGATGAGGGGCATCGAGGCGGCTTCCTCAAAGCTCATTCCCAATGGAACACACATGGCGCCCTTGGCTGGAAAGCGGACGTATGTGGCGAAAGTGTCACAAGATGCCGTCATCACTCTGTCGCCGACTTTGATATCCGTGACAGCGGATCCAACACGAGTGACGATACCCGATGCATCAACACCTAGCTTGTTTTCGGCCAGATTACCGAGCGCAATGAGGACATCCTTGAAGTTGAGACCTACAGCCTTCACTTCAATCTCGATCCAATCCTCAGGCAGTGGCGTGTGGTACATCTCATCCTCTTCCCACTGGAAGGTGTCAAGCAGACCGGGTGTCTTGATAGTCAGCTTAAGGGGACGTCCGCAGCCTATGAATGGCACCATCTCAGGATCACCCTTGGCTTCATACTTGCGTAATGATCCATCAACTTCCAGAGTTCGCTCGACGCGCGGTACATAGACCATGTCTCCACGCGCGGCGAACTCGCCCTCTGTGCTATCACCGCGAATATGTGCAAGGGCAACCTTAAGTATAATCTGAGACGCTTCCTCAAAGTTGACAGTGATTGGTGGATCCAAATCGAGACATGCAAGGCGGACGCCGGCGTCTTCATTACGAATTGCTCTTCCGAGTCCAACCATAAGACTGTTCATGGGGCAAGGGGTGTCGAGAGCACCACCACCAGTAATCCACAGGGCGCCTTCGGATGAAAGAATGACTTCGCGCAACCTGTCCCAATTATCATCGGTGAGGTTCGCGAGGATAGCATCCTCCCATTCTGCAAGGCAGATGCAATACTTGCCCTCCACCTGCGTCTTGGTGACAACATTCCACTGAGCGATACTGATATCATGACTAGCCGAGGCAAATGCCCTCTGTATGGTATCGGCGAGCTTGTTTGACGCTTCAGTACCAGCGGTGATGACAAGGCAAGAAGGCAGGCTAGGTGCGGCTGTCTCAGGCTTGGTTGAGACGAGCAGCGAGACAGGCTCTTTCGAGGTTTCGCGATCACCACGGATATCGACATCAACACCCGAGAATCCAGCCTTTTTCAATGCAGCATTCCACTCGTCAGCATCCAAGAGTGGGCCTCCCATCCTACCGTCCGCTTCTCCTAGCCACCAGCCGGGCAAAGGGCCCATGATAAACCCAGAGAAGATACGCTTGATGGTCACCTCGGACAACACAAGACGACCACCTGGCTTTAGCAGCAGCTTGCAGTGCGCTAACGTTTCTTGAATGCTCTTCGTTGCATGAAGTACGTTAGCGCATACGATTAGGTCATAGGACTCAGGGTTGAAGCCTTGCTCTGTGGGCGTGTTCTCGATGTTGAGCGTGCCAAACTGCATAATGGACGCATCCTGCTTGAACCGGTCAGCTGCCTTGGCAAGGAAGCCAGGAGAGATGTCAGTGAAGTAGTATTGAGCTGCCTTGGAGGTTCCATCGGGATTGCGCAAGCGTTCCAAAACATGGTATGTGGTACCACCCGTTCCGGCGCCGATTTCCAGGATGCGCAACCCGGGTTGCTTATCAGCAATAAGACCGACATATTCGGCGACATTGGTGTTGAAACTGGTACCGAAAGCACCACGGTAGAAGGAGTAAAGAAGATCGCCCTCAGTCATGCATTGCAGAGCTTCGACTTCGCGTTTGAAGATGCGAGAAAGATTTTGCCCGATACGATCCACCATCTGTACAGTGATGTCGCCGCTCTCGGACTTTACGATGCGTTGCCGAGCCTTCTCCATCTCACTCTCCACATCTGCGGGTAGCGCAGGGAATTGCTTGACAGTGTCATGCATCCACTCTACGTATGACTTCCAGAAGCCATCCCGTGGCACATGTGCCTTCCCTTCCTCGGACTGGAACCAGTCGAGGATACAGTAGATGTACACCAGACACACAAACTCGAGTAGATCAAGTACAGAGTCGTCATCTTTACTCTTCAGTGTACGCTTGTAGATGATCTCTTTGATCTGTGATGGAGTCAAGAGATCAGCATCTACGTGCCAGTTCTGCGCAAAGCATGATGCCCGTGTTTCCAGTTGCCTCGATGCATCTTCTGTTGCGCCAACAGATGCTAGCACAACGCCTTCCATGATGACGACAGGCTCGGTCATCGTTGCCTCTGACATGGTGATGTTTGAATTCCAAGTGGTGTAGCTCAGTTTCTTTGCGGAAGAGCAGCCACATAGCTCTGCGCCAGCATTCCTTGGTATATCGGCTGAGACGAAAATGCGATCAAAAGATCTGGGGACGATCGCTTCATTCAATGCTTGCTCTTCGCCGGAGATACTAGGAAAGATGAGATGAAGGACCGAGTCGAGAGTGGCCGGATGGACTACATGAGGGAACTCAAATCCCTTGGGCATGATAGCCTTAGTGTCAGGCACCTTGATGACACCATAACTGGCGTTGGGCCCAGCGTACAGCTCCGTCATATTTCGGAAAGTTGGCCCGTACTGCATACCAATTGTCTCGACTGTGTCGTATAGGAAGCTCCGCGCCGGCTTCTGGCAGATTCTTCGAGCCTCGGCAAGGGAAGACATGTAGCGTTCATTCTCCAGTGCCACCTCGCGCTCCATAGATGGGGAGAAGGCCTTGAAGGCGACGGAGACTAGACCACGGGCATGCGCACTCCAAGAACTCATCTCTTCACTCCAAGAAAAGATAGTGAACTCGTAGAGTGTGGAGGACGGCGCTGCTCGTGTTCCAGTGCGACGATTGTGCAGCTGCGTCATGACCTCAATGCCCTTCTCAGTGTCAGGTACACGAAGTGCAGTATCGATGTTAACATCGCGCAACTCGAAACCATATATCTCGTCGGCATTCGTCTCCTGAGCCAGCTGGTGCGCCGCTTCGATTGCCATGGCGAGCATGCCAGCACCTGGGTAGAGGATGTCGCCTTGGACCTTATGCTCGCGGATCCAGGGGTTCTCGTTGCACCGTAGGAAGTTGCGCCATGTGTGCTCTGGCGTTCCAAGCAGGCGATAGCCTACGAGATCTGTGCGCGGTGACTGACGAAGGCGGTGCTGACGACTCAAGTGGGATTCCTCCCAATACGGCTTATGGTTCCAAGCATAGGGAGGGAGATCGACTAGCATGTTGATGCTATCAGAGGATACATCATTGACTTTGCTCAGATCGACCTTGCATCCATGCGCCCAAAGATGACCCATGGCCTCCAGCGCGGTAACAGCGCCATCGAAATGTCGGCGAAGAAGAGTGGTGTACGTCGTATCCCCACCACAGTTCTCGTTGCTGAAGATGTCCAAGAGGTAGCTGCGCAAGGCTGAGTGAGGACCGAGCTCAACGAACAGATTGGCGAAAGCTTTGCGCGATTTGCTCTCCTGTGGGTAACATAAAAGGGAGCGGGTGGCTGCGACAAAGTTCACGGGAGAAACCAAGTTATCTACCCAGTACGAAGGCTTCATCTGTGTAGGGTTAACCAGTGTACCTGTTACGGATGAGAACATAGGAATGGTCGACGTTGAGCCATGCGCGATACCCTCCAGAGCTTTTTCATATTTCTCGCGGGCTGCCTCCATGTGAAAAGAATGGTATGCAACATCCATAGGCAGTCGGGTGCATGCTACCTGCGCGTATTTCAATACTGTCTGTAGCTCGTCAATGGCGGACGTATCGCCAGTGACAGTGCAAGCCTTGGTGGAGTTGAAGCATCCTACGACTGCCTTGCCGCTCTTCAGGCATTCGAGGTGACTCTGTATGCTATCGGCACTGGCAGAAACGGCCAACATGCCGCCATCCTTGGAGACGGTCTTGCTAACCTGTCCTCTGAGCCAAGCGATCTTGATTGCTGCCTCTTGGTCGATGAAGCCGGCAGCGTAGGCAGCCGCAATCTCGCCGCTGGAATGACCAAGGACAGCAACAGGTCGCACTTCGAAGCCGCTCATGAGATCTACGAGCGCAACCTGGACGGCTGTACAGGCCGGCTGGCTGTAGTCAGTTTCGCGCAGCCTGCACTGAGCCTCGCTTCGATTCAGCTCCTCAGCAAGACTCCATGGGCAGCCGAACGACTTGAGCATGACCTCCGATCTCTGCATGCTCTCAGCGAAAGTCTTGTAGACAGAAAGGCCTCTTCCCATTGCGTGCCATTGTGCACCCTGGCCCGTGAAAACGAAGGCGATTCGTGGTATCGCAGAGGCAGAGGAACGGACCACGGGAGGGAGGCTTGAGATCTTTTCTCGAAGGCCGCTGACACTCGATGACACGGCATAAGATTTCCACGGCAGCACAGTTCTTTTGGCGCTCAGCGTGTATGTCAGGTCGTTGAGGAAAGAAGGTGCGGTAGAGGTCTTAGAAGCAAGATACCCTTGTAGGCGCTCAGCACTGCGCTTGACACCGTCTTGATCGTTGGAAGATAGTACGAGCAACTTCGGCGTGGGATGGACGTCGCGCAGCACCTCGCTCGATACGTCGCTGATGTTGTCGCTGGATTCACCGCTCGTCGCCTCGTCGGTGACTGTGCTTGCAGAGCTGCTGGGGCTGTCACTGAGATGGCTGACGCGCACACTGCTCAGACTGGGAAGGAGCGGTGCCGTTGTATGTCGACCCTTTAAGCCATGACGTGACAGGAAAGATGCTGCATCTTCGAGGATGGCATGTGCGTTTGCACCACCAAAGCCGAAGCTATTGACGCTTGCGCGGCGAGGTCCGTTATGCGGCCACGGTGTTAACTTGGAGGCTATCTTGACATTTTCCGGCAAATCGATCTCAGGATTGAGCTTCTCAAACCTGGACGTTGTCAGTAAGGGGCGGATCAAGGGTTTCACCGATGTACCAACCAAAGATTCGGAGGTATCATGCCACGCTCAACGATCAGTGCAGCCTTGATGATACCAGCTACACCAGCTGCTCCCTCTAGATGTCCAATGTTCGTCTTGACAGATCCGACATAAAGATCCGACCTGCGGCCCTCGACCGATCCAACTGTGTTCAGGATCGCTCGGGCCTCCAACGGGTCGCCAGCCTGTGTGCCCGTTCCATGTGCCTCGACATACCCCGTCTCTGCTGGATCTACGCCAGCCATCTGGTATGCTCTTCGAATCAACTCTTGTTGCGCCTCACTGTTAGGCAGTGAGATACCAGGCGTGTGGCCGTCTTCATTGGCGGCTGTGGCCAGCACGACCGCTCGAATGTTGTCACCATCGCGCAACGCTGCATCCAGAGGCTACGTATTGTCACCTGTCAACCGAATGTCTCGCATTCAAGAATGGCCATTGCGCCGGATACATACCTTCAAAATTGTGACGCCAAAGCCTTCTCCGCGCGCAAAACCATTCGCATTCGCATCCCACATCTTGCTCTTACCTTCCGGCGACAGGATCTTTGCAGCTCCTAACAAGATGGACATATCCGGTCCAAACATGAGATTGGCGCCTCCAACCACGCTCATCTCAGCTTCTCCTGTACGAATGCTTTGACATGCCAAGTGAAATGCAGTCAAACTAGATGAGCAAGCCGTGTCGACCGTGAGGGAAGGGCCTCGAAGATTGTAGAACCACGATAACCTGTTGGAAGCCAGTGATGCTGACATGCCAGTTGCGTGGTATATGGAAGGACCTTCGTTATCGCGTGCTTGCAAGTTGGGAAAGTCTGCTGTGAAGGTGCCAATGTAGCAGGATGTCTGTGTGCCTGAAACCTTCTCCAGGCTCAAGCCGGCATTCTCAAAGCCCTCGTACGTAGCCTCCAAAAGGATGCGATGCGTCGGGTCCATGGCCTTTGCCTCTTTTGGTGTGATGCTGAAGAATGGAGCATCAAACACCTTGAAGTCTTGTTGCAAGAAGTGGGCATGCCTGTCGCGATGGGCGATTAGCATAGGGAGCATACTACAGGAAGAACGGTATAGAGCCTACCTTTGTTGAATACTGCCTAGTCGTTCTGCATCGGGATGGTAGAAAGCGTCGACATTGTAACGATCTTTAGGGATCTTAGTCCGTGCATTACGGCCTTCCACGAGCATGCGGTAGAAGGCCTCTGGATCTCGAGCGTCGCCAGGCCCCCGAAAAGCGATACCAATAATGGCGACTGGCTTGTTCATGGTGGCAGCTCTGTGATGGGAGATACTAAAGAGGAATGGCAGCCAATTGGGAAAGTCAGATTCAGAGATGCCTAAACGAAAAGTCACACTCGAATGAGAGGCAATGGGTGTATGATGTGCTATGGAAATACTATTTAACGAAATCTGGCGTGGAAACTACAGGTACATATCGTCTTCGAAGGTAACGTCTGCTATCCATTCACTAATCGTACAGGTGTTGCGTCAAGACCGAGCAGCTGCCATATCTGGGAAGATTTCTCGTCTTTCGATTCGGCAGAAGTAATATGAAGTCGGTCAAACATTTTGAAGAAAGCATCCAATCCCACTTTGTCGTTCGAGCACGCTGCATGGCGATTCCCCGGATACACGCGTGCGAAGGATATACGGAGTGGGTTCTCGAAACACCGATCCAGAGCGATTACGGTTCCTTCCGCTCTCAACCCAGTCCGCACTGTATGAGTATAACCCGACTATAGGCAAAAGTCCTGACTCGTGGTGTTGACGGCTCGTCGCTCTCGGAGTAAGTCTTTCTTGGGCGTGAAAGCGACTAGGGTAGACGAGGGCTGTCATCGCCGTGGAGTTCACTATTGTCCCCACTACTTACACCAACACTATATGGACCCACTGAAGGCCCGTATACTCGGACAATTATGAGCGTCGGCTCTAAAATTTTCCCCAGATCGTATGCTTCTGGGAATCATTCGAGGCTCGACATGAGTCGTAATACGCTATAGTGTCTGCTCGTCTCTGCGACCGAGAGCTCCCAGTTTCCGAAGTTAGGTTAGGATCCACAGGCCTCTCTCCGTGCTGACATATACTCAAGCGGCGTTTTGCTACTCAGTAAGCAGTTGTGATCAGATCTGCTAAGCTGCTGGACCTTTCGACAGGCTTCATAGTACACGAATGAAGCTATCGCAATGCCGAGAGAGACATGCGTATTCGCAAGAAAAACCATTTTGCCCCCAATGGCACTTTGATAGATGGCATCTTCTGATGGGCCATATCTACATTAAAAACTGCTCCAAGACCGGCAAAAATACCTCATGACTCAAGAAGTGGCTGGTACCATCGAAACACATTATCGGGATCGTACTTCTGCTTGAGATTCCGCAGTTTCTCCAGCCTCCACGGCTCGTAGCCATATAGCGCCTCTGGCGGATCCTTCATAGTCGACGTACCGTTGCCATAGCTCACGTATTGCTGCAAACGACCATACCCAGACGTGTCAATGAAGCGTCTCTTCCAGTAATTGAGGTGATCCTCAAAGACCTTTCGATCCTCCATTCGCTTTGGTGTAGCATTCAGCATTCTACAGCTCTCATATTAGGGGCTGTTTTCGAGAGGGGTCAATGGAGTTGACTCACAGGAAATGGTTTGACCCTCCACGCCACGGAAACGCCGTCGCATCATCAGAAATCTCGCGAACACGCTGATCGGGTAGACACTCAAACATGGCGCTGAACCAGCCACGATCTTCCCACTTCTCACTCATGGATTTGACGCTCTCGAAGAACTCACGTGTCGTCTTCAGGTCGAACGTTTCGACGCAAGCGGCCCCCATCATCTTGTAGGGACCACGGAGCCAGATTTCGGGCTTGCAGAAGAGCTTGTTCATCTCTTTGTACGTTGCGTAAGGTAGTTCTGGCCATGGTATCGATTTTCGCCCACTACTCAAGACTGGCTCTAGAGACTCGAAACGCTGCACATAGGGATCTGCGTCTGCAGCTGCACCGGACCAGACTAAGTTGACGAGAATGATGTGCTGAATCTTATAAGCTGCGTCAACATGCTCCTCATGAAAAGGCGTACCTTGCGACCACTACTTCGGCGCAGCCATAGGACGAAGATTGCCAGTTCGGCAGGCATACTCTCATAGACGCTATTCAGCGTCCTGAAGACCTCGTCGCACTGATCTAGAGTGTACTCCAAATCCCAAGTATGGTGTATACCCCCATTTGCTTGCGGATATACCTGGAAGGTGGCTTCAAGTGCGATGCCAAAGTTATGACCTGCTCCCCGGAGGCCCCAGAAAAGATCCGGATGGGAGTTCTTGGATGCAACCACCATACTCCCGTCGGCGAGCACGAGCTTGCAAGAGATCATATTATCATTCAGGAAGCCGTATTTTCCTTGCAAACGTCCTAGGCCCGCCCCAAATGCTACACCAATAACCCCTGTAGTCGGGCACGATCCTACATCTTTGTCTCGTTAACAACACCACTCCAGCAAAGCGACACATGATACATACTAACTTCCATACCCAAGTCATGCACAAAGCGCACGAACTCATCAGTTATCGCTCCACCACCAATAGTGACATGGCGTTTCCCGGCATCCCATCGCATCTGGTTGAGCGGACGCATGTTGATACACATGCCATTCTGGAAGCGTCCCATTGTGGTCGTGACTGAATGATGGCCGCCACGAGGTGTAAACGGAATACCTTTTTCCCTCGCGTACTTGACGACCTCGATCACATCGTTTTCACAGACTGGATCGACAATAGCGAGGTACGTTGGACGCTCATACTGAGTAAAGCGCAGATTGGCTTTTTCGAACTCTGTTTTGTCCTCATCAAATGGTAGATGGACACGCGCCTTGTTCGATAGCTTTCGCTCAAGCTCGGTGCGAATTGTGACTGCCAGCGAGACGAGGTCATCGCCGCTTTGCTGACAACCCATGTTCTGGATATGTACCGGGGATCTGAATGCTAACCGAAAAATTTGATGATGATGCAGAGAGAGCTTGAAATATAAGGAGAAATTAGACCAAACAGAAGGTCTTGATATCAACAAAGTACTCAGCTATGGATGTAGTAGTCACTGGCCGTCGTAGTCGATGGAGACCTCAGCATACCAGCAGACCTACGATCGGCAATCTTGCGTGCTGATTGCTACGCAGGAAGAACTGACATACTTCTAGACCCATGTGCGTGTGTAGAGAGGCTCCACATTGCCTTGCACAGTTGCGTAGAACCCCTGCATCATTTTCCACTCAACCTTGGGTCAAGCTTTACCATATATCCACAGCACGTGGCCAAGCTTCACATAGTTATTTGCTTACTGTAGGTAGACCCACGTGGGGAAATGGTACCCGCAAATGTACACGCACCACATGTTAATGATCTGCACGATGTCTAACAGCCTGCACGTTATCTCGGAGAAGGGATCGGGCCGACCTGCAAGGGCCGAATAAAAGTCCGGGTCACCTGGACCGACATATGCATCTTCCCTCCAGAACACCTTGAGTAATCTTTGTATACACGTTTTCTTGCTGAGCGTGCAACAATGAGGAGGCCTTATTGGATACTTTTGCTCGGCACCATCACTCGGCGACTACGAGGCCTGAGGGCAGGGTGGGAGAATGCAGCGCTTCACTGAAGTCGAGTACTATCGAGACATGTCGCGGTAGATTTCCCCGCCAGTCTGAGCTGTCGCTAGAATTCTGGCTGAAGAATACTGTATCGTCTTTCTTCCGGGACTTGGAGCGCTGCATATCGATTTCGCTGTATTCTGGTGGTTCCATAGTATTCAGGTACTATGGCAGCATTTTCTGTACCCGGTGGCTTGTCACATCAGCTTGATCAATTGCCATCGTTGACATTTCAAAACATCATCACCGGTGCAGTTGTATTTGTAAGTTCGCAGAGGCTGCATTTCCTCCTGCAAAAGCTCACAAAAGTGCGCAGCCACTACTCTATATCTTGCTCAAAGCTGTTTACAATCTCTACCTAAGCCCCTTAGCTGGCTACCCAGGCCCAAAGCTCTGGGCCATCTCTCGCCTACCATGGAATCGCGCAAACATGAAGGGTCGCATCAGCTGGAAGATCCGCGAGCTCCACGACAAGTACGGTCCTGTTGTGCGTATCGCCCCAGATGAAATCTCGTATACGACATCTGGCGCGTGGAAGAAAATATATGGACAGCGAAATCCCGAGTTCGTCAAGGCTCTCGACGGCAGAGGCATTGCGCCTGCGAGTATTGGTGGCCAACGTAGCTTGATGACGGAGCACCAAGACAGACATCTGAGGCTGAGGAGGGCCATAGATCCTGCATTTAGTCAGAGAGCACTGTAAGTCTGGATGCCCTTCCTTACTCTGTAGGTGTTACTCCACCATACTGACTTCATGATACTAGACGCGAACAGGAGAGCTACTTCCAAGACCACTCGGACAATCTTGTTCAGAAGCTGAGGCAACGGTGCAAAGACGGACCCCTAGATATGACTACTTGGTACAATCTCGTCGCATTTGACATCGTATCCGATCTGGCTTTTGGTGAGCCGTCAGGCTGCGTCAATAACCCTGATCAACCATGGATCCAAGCCATACTCGCTCGTGCCAAAGCCATTGTCTGGTTTCAGCTTGCCGTACAGTATGGATTCATGGGTCTTCTCAACTGGATGACACCAAAGTACGTTACTGAATCGAGGAAGAAACATATCGCTATGACTGAGGCCAAGCTTAAGGCGCGAGTTGAAGCTAAAAACCCTGGCAAAGACTTCATGTCATACATTCTCGAAAACGACGAGAAGCTCAACCACCTCGAACTGGTGATGCTCTCTTCCAACTTCATTGTAGCAGGTAGCGGCACATCTGCTGGTGGGATGTCCGGCTTGACGTATCTTCTGCTGCGCAACCCAGACAAGTTGGAGAAGCTCAAACAAGAAATACGCAGTTTGTTTAAAAGCCGCGCGGATATGACCCTTCAGGCGGTGACCAGCTCCAAGTACCTGCGCGCCTGTCTCAACGAGGGTATGCGTCTCTATCCGCCAACACCGGGTTCGCTGCCGCGACTCGTTCCTGGAAAGGGCGAGATGATTGAAGGAAAATGGGTTCCGGGGGGTTACGCTGTTGGTGTTAACCAGCTGGCGGCCGGCCACTCCGAACGTAACTTCAAGAAGGCGCGCGAGTTCCATCCCGAGCGCTGGCTCGACGAGCCCGACTCTAAGTTTAAGGATGACGATCGTTCTGCAGTTCAGCCATTCTCATATGGTCAGAGGGCTTGTATTGGAAGATCCATGGCCTATGCTGAGATGTCTCTCACGATGGCGAAGTTGGTACGGTATTTTGACTGGGAGTTTCACGACCCCGAAAATGATTGGTGGAACCAGCAAGGCACCTACCTGGTGTGGGAAAAGTTGCCTTTGCAGGTTAAGCTGACGCCTGTGTCCGACTTAGGTGAATAGTGACAGCATGATAAGAAGCTATAGGAGTGCTTACGATATATATGATGTATGGCTAGTCATGTAAATAGTTAGTAGCTGTACATGTAGATGCAATGTGACTGGACATGATCTCAAACAAGAGATAGCGAAAATAAGGTGCATCCATCATTAGAGTTGCGGTAGTGACCTTGACGGCACCCCTAGCTTTTTTTACTAGGGAAGTCAAATAGGCGGCGGCAGTCAGCACACAGACCAAGACTTTGAGCGGGCACAGATCCCATGTCTAGTGCACTACACGTGGGCCCGAATTGCTGCCCGAGAATGAATGGCTCGTTAGTGTATTTAAGTCGCCAGTGGCGCGTCATCCAGACGGCAGTACGAACTCAAGAGGTGTCGAATCGCCATCATTCAAGATGCAAATAATTCTTCCAATCCTAGTGGCGGGTATATTCCTCATCATTCATGTCGTCAATACTTTTCTCGTAAGACCCTTACAAACCTTCCTCAAGAGCCGCCGTCTCGGATGTGGCCCAGTGCCATTTGAGCCAACTCGATGGCCTCTGGGCATCGATACCGTACGCCGGAGCCTACAAGCCGACAAAGAGCAAAGAACGCCTGATTTTATAGCTTCGCGCTTTGAAACTATGGGTCGCTATACGTGGGGGCTATCACTGCTGGGGACATCGAACCTTATCACAGCCGATCCACGTAACGTACAAGCACTCCTCGCAACCCAATTCGATGATTTCGTCATGGGCACAGCGAGGAGAACAAATTTGAAGACGGCGCTTGGGCGCAGTATCTTTGCTGTGGATGGCAAAGCATGGCATCGTGCAAGGGAGACGATGCGGCCGATCTTCAGTAGAGAGAATGTTTCTCGGCTTGAGTTGCTCGAGGAACACGTACAGACTATGTTGCGGATCATGGAGACGAAAAACGAGGGATTGACGACTGATGCTGAGGACCGAGCATGGTCGGCACCTGTGAGCTTGGCTGTACTGTTACCGCGTTTGACTATGGATTCGGCAACTGAATTGTTCCTCGGACAAAGTACACATTCCCTCAATACAGCGCTCGTCAAACAGCAGCAGAATAGCATCAATGATGAACACGATGAGTACAGTTTCGACCATGCTTTCGAGCGCATGCTCGCCATCTTAGGGACAAGAATGCGACTACGAAGCCTATACTGGTTATACGGCAACAAGGAACTCGAAAAGTGCATCAACACTCTTCACACTTTCGTAGACAGCGCCATCGATGCCGCTGATCAAGCACGGAAGTCAGGCTCATCACAACTCCGCTACGACTTTCTCGAATTACTCCGTACGCGTTGTTCTAACCGTGCTGAGGTACGCGAGCAAGTGTTGGGCTTGTTGGCCGCGGGCAGTGACACCACAGCATCACTTACAGCCTGGGTCTTCTACTGCCTAGTAAGAAGCCCAAGGGTGTACACAAAGCTACGCGAAACTGTTCTTGCAGAGTTCGGCCCTTACTCAACGAAAGTTGGGCAGACGATAACATTCGAGAAGCTCAAGGGCTGCACATACCTACAACATGTTCTGAACGAAACACTACGGCTACATTCGGTCGTTCCATTCAATTCTCGCTGCGCTGCACGAGATACGACGCTTCCTGTCGGCGGCGGACCGGATGGAAGCATGCCTGTGTTCGTACCCAAGGGTACCGAAGTCAACTTCAGTACACATGTGCTACATCGACGGAAAGATCTGTGGGGCGAAGACGCCGACGATTTTGTGCCTGAGCGATGGGAAAAGAGGAGGCCAGGAACGAATTGGCAATACGTTCCTTTCAATGGTGGACCGCGTATCTGTATTGGCCAGCAATTTGCCCTTACAGAGGCTGGATATGTGCTAGTAAGGATGTTGCAGAGGTATGATATTATTGAGGGTCTGGATGTTGACGTGAAGCGCGATTGGCATAACTTCACTGTTGTGTGTAGCCCTGGCAGTCCAGTGGCAAGAGATGCTGCGGTCATGTGCCGATTGAGGGTAGCCGTCGAGTGAGTTGTTGGTATGATCTTTATCGTAATTTGTTTACTTTTCCGGTTATTCCAACCGGTTGTTTGGTACTATCTCAACAATGAGTCCGGTATTGCGCCATGTTCTCCCCACAAATAGTACAGAACGCAATGTACGTGCAGGTATCGTCTTTTCCTTTTTTATCCAGACAGCTGTTGTATGAACACCGGGCAGCGAGTCATTGTAAAAGTCAACAACGACTAAAGCTAGCCAACTAAAGCGGGCCGAATGCGGCTTCAAGGTACCAATACCACCGAGGGCCTGAACTGCGGGGTGGTAAAAGCCGAAGACTGCATCTGCAGCTATATTAGATGCCAGAGGCTCAGAATAAATCAATGAACCACGTGTATACCTATCTGTTTCAATTGGCTCGTTATACTTACGGGAAGGGGAACATGTTCAACACCACTCCCTCGAGCGCGCGACGATGGACCTGCTGCTCCAAGACTCGAAAAACGAATCAAGGCGAGCAAGTCCAGAGGCAAGACTACCAGCTTGAGCGCGAACATGTTGTTTGCTATAGCCTGTTCTATCTGCATAAGTGTAGGTTGATACTTCTACAAATGTTATCCAGATACAAAAATCTAATCGAACACAGCCCATCTTGTACTTCCTCGTTCGCTCCATCTACTACCTCTTCTTCCATCCTCTGTCAGCCTTTCCAGGTCCAAAACTCTGGGCAATTTCCCGCGTTCCCTGGAACTACGTCAACCTACAAGGGAACCTCGCATGGCGCATTCGTGATATGCATTTGTATTACAATAGCAGTGTGATACGTATTGCTCCAGATGAGCTGTCGTATACGAGCAGCACAGCTTTGAAAAAGATAGACGGCACTCCACCGCCGCGCGAGTTTCTCAAATGTCTGGACGGTCGTGGTATCGCTCCAGCGGTTGTTAACGGGCGTCGCAGCATTGTCACCGAGACGCCCGAGCGGCACACTATCCTCCGCCGTGCCCTCCAACCCGCCTTCAGTGAGCGTGCCTTGCGCGACCAAGAAGACTTCTTCCGCGACCACACTGATCGACTGGTCGCACAGTTACGAAAGCCACAGTATGGTATCACTGAGCAGAACATCTTACGATGGTTTGCCCTACTCAGTTTCGATATCATGAGCGATCTAGCCTTTGGTCAGCCGGCCGGCTGTCTAGATCGTGTAGACGAGCCCTGGCTCGAAGTCATTGGGTCGCGCGTCAAGAGTATTGTTTGGTACCAGTTTGCTGTGTACTACCACATCGAGTGGATTTTGAAATGGATCATGCCCAAAGCAGCCATGGAGGCGCGGAAGCGGCACCAAACTCTGACGCTACAGAAGGTGCAGCGACGGATCGTAGAAGAGCGTAGCGGGAAACGAAAGGGAAAGAGAAGGGATTTTATGAGCTATATCCTTGGCAATGACAAGGAAAATCTAAGCAACATGGACTTGTTTGGTATGGCAAGTGCGTTAATTGTGGCGGGCAGCAACACGACTACGTAAGAAAACGTCCCTGAACGAATTGCATGTGAGACAAATACTGACTTCAAACATGGACACTAGATATACCATGACTGCTTTCGTCTTCTTCGTTTGTCGACATCCAGAGGTCTATGTCAGAGTTGTTGCTGAAGTGCGAGACAAATTCGCGAGTGAGGCTGACATTACCATGGTTGCTGCTGGTGAGCTACCCTACTTGAAAGCTTGCATCGAGGAGACGATGCGCATGTCACCTCCTACACCTTCAGCTTTGCCGCGCTGGGTTCCGGAGGGTGGAGAAGAGATAGACGGCAAATGGGTTCCGGGAGGTGTAAGTCTTTTCTTGTCCGTTAGCGCCAAGGTGACCTTTTACTGACAAGTCGAATCGCGAAGACTGCCGTAGGCGTGCATAACCTGGCGGCCTGCCATGTTCCATGGAACTGGCATCGACCTCTCAAATTCATCCCTGAGAGGTGGCTGCAGACGAAAGAAGGAGAGTTCACTCAAGATGACCGCGGTGCCTCCCGCCCTTTCTCCTACGGTCGACATGATTGTATTGGGCAAACGTAAGCATAACCACTCCCCTCCTCTTGTCACTAGTATATCACTGACCCATTGCCTATTTAGTATGGCAATGAATGAGATGAGGCTTGCCTTAGCCAAGCTCTTCTGGAACTTTAATATCTCCCTCAACCGTAGCTCGGAGGATTGGTGGATCACGCAGAAGTCATACTTGGTCTGGGAGAAGAAGCCGCTCATGGTTTCGATAAAGCCGAGACATTAGTTAGCACTGATTGCAATCCAAGTCCAACGTATGCTGCATCAGCATACAAACTCATCTGGTGATAGCTCATTCTGTCATCTCTCAAAGAGATACCGTCAGTTGAAGGGGTTGACAGCGCCGCTTTGCCTAAAATTCCTTTTGCCGCGGAGTTGTCCTACCCGAAAACACGTCGCTAAAGCTAGATAGTAGTTGCGCATGATGTGTCGCACGTTTGGGGTGTTGGCCGATCATTTGTTGTGCATTTGCAGGGGCACTTTACTCGGTCCGTTGAAGTTCGGGCCGGTCGTTTTGAGAACTGAAATGGGGTATACCCGTGAATCGTTCTGATGGCTGTCGGCGCTCTTCGGCGATAGAATTGGAACACAGGTAAATAGCCACTCCCTTGACCACGTGGTTGGCTTTTTGGCAGTTGCGTTGCGCAAACATCTCTAGCACGGTCCATGGTGGACAGCAGACACGCGGTGATAACTGTTCCATCCAATCCTCGGGTGGTAAAGATAGAATGCAGTCTGATCTTACTACCGACCGTATACACTCATTGACCTTTCTCCGTTACTAGACCAAGTTCTGTCTGAGCAATGGCCGACCGTCCCAAACGCGAGCTGAAAGTGCTTTCACTGGGAATGACACGTACTGGTGAGTTTCCTAGACTTGTGACTTCCCTTTATCGTGCCTAGCCGCCTTGAAAGGATGGCTGAAACCAACTTGTGAAATAGGATCGGCCTCGATAACTCAAGCTCTT